TGTTGATAGGAATGGCTACATTCCTCAAGATAGCTGCCATTTTCCACCGTGGTTACTGAATATACCAAAAGGACAAATGATTAGGCTCAGAAGAAATTGTACGACACAGGATGATTTTTTTAATCATGCAAAAAATGTAGGCCAAAGATTTGGACCCAAAGGATACTCACAACAGGAAATAAGCAAGGTCATTCAGGAAGTAGGAGATACAAAAAGGGACCTACTTCTTATGGATAGAGAGAAAAAAGAGGATCAGAAAGACCAACTGGCTGTGTGTTTAGATTTTAATGTCCATTTTAGGAAAGTGGAGACCATTTTTAAAAAACATTGGCAACAAAGAGGCATTGGCGGGGTAGTCACAAGGTGCATTCCCTAAGCAAATTAGAATCGAAATGGATTTATAATATGCAAACGTATTTTCCTAGAGCAGCGTTTTTCAACCACTGTGCCGCGGCACACTAGTGTGCCGTGAGATATTGTCTGGTGTGCCGTGGGAAAAATTCCAATTTCATCTGTAACATGTGGCTTCGGCTCACAAATAGACCAATCATTAGAATCTAATGATTCAGTGGTCGGCAAGCCGCGGCTCTTTACCCAGTCTAATGCGGCTCTTCTGTGTGCCGGGCGCCTGCTCCCCTCCCTCCTCTCGGTCGGCCGCTCCCCTGCCTCCTCTCGGTTGGCAGCCCCAAAAGTCCGCGCGGACCTTTTAATCCGGCTTGCGGATGTGGCTGTCAGGATGTGTGTAGGCGGGGCAGCGTGCCGAACGTGAGGGGGGGGAGCTAGGCTCCTCTCACAGTCCGCCCTGAAGACCCGAACGGCGCGGGGAAGACAGCGAGAGGAACGCAAAAGGTAAGTGAATTGACACGGGGGACTTGGCTTACTAGAAGGGGGGGGGGGGAATAGTACTGTGGGGGATGAAATACTATATGAGGGATGAATTACTTTATGAGGGATGAAATACTATATGGGGGGGATGAAATACTATATGGGGGGTGAATTACTATATCAGGGATGAATTACTATATGAGGGATGAAATACTATATGGGGGGATGAAATACTATATGATGGGGGGATGAAATACTATATGGGGGGATGAATTACTATATGAGGGATGAAATACTATATGGGGGGATGAAATACTATATGAGGGATGAAATACTATATGGGGGATGAATTACTATATGAGGGATGAATTACTGTATGAGGGATGAAATACTATATGGGGGGATGAAATAATTATAAAATAATTTCTTTGTGTTTGATTACTATTCAAGAGAATTACTTTATATATAGTCAATATAGGCACAGAGGTAATTTTTTTTAACATTTTCTAATGGTGGTGTGCCTCGTGATTTTTTTTTTCATGAAAAAAGTGTGCCTTTGCACAAAAAAGGTTGAAAAACACTGTCCTAGAGGATTGAATATTGAGTTTGATTTAAACTGTTTTATTTCAGATTTTTGATTCGATATGGGTATGAAATTGGTACAATTAGGATTTCTGGTTATATTTTCATGATCTATTTTAATATATTTTAATATATTTTGATATGTATTAATTATATGTCATATGGTGTAAACTCATGCTTTTAGATAGACGTATTTATGTATATTTGAGTGGATACCCTTATTATTGCCGGAGAAGGGGTGGAGTAGACTAGATAATTTTAATTTTATGTTTATTTTTATGTTTATATTTATTTTTATTTATTTTTTTATATTAATTTTATTTTATTTTTATTTGTATTTTATTTTTATTTTTGTTCTTATTTTTATTTTTATTTCTATTTATAGATTTTTATTTTATGTTAATAATTTTTTTTTTTTTTTTTGATTTTAAAATACGTTTTTTTTATTTAAAAAATATTTTTAAGGATTTTTTAATATATATTTTTTTACATATATACGGTTTTGAGGAACTAAATGTTTAATAAATAAATTTATTGTACCAGAGATACTTTTTTGAAGGAATTAATAATCATGTTTCGAATTAATTTTTATTTTCATATTGAATTAAATTATATAATAAATGTAGATTTTAAATTATGAAATAAATGCAGGTTTTATAAGATTAATTAAAAGATTAATATTTTATTTCTATGGGGTTCCATATACTACCACTATTTAATAGTAGATATATTTTATAAGATTTGAGGTTTTTTTTTTAATATAGTATAGAATAATTATTTGGGCTGGTTGTACAATATATGTCTCCCGTGGATTCATATATTTGTTGAGCTAATTGCATAGTAGTCTCTTGTGGTCTTCATAGTCATGGCCCCAGGAATGAAATAGAGGTGGATCGATGAGTAGGTGAGAACCCTCCTTTGAGGGCGTTTCCTCTCATTGTGTTGGGTATATGAGGGAGAGATTGTCACTATGAATGACAGCCCTGAGGAAGTCACATGACACTGTAACGCAACGCGTCGGCCTGACGTTTTAGTGACGCACTTGCGGCGTGGCGGCCATCTTGGTACACCTGTACACCCAGCTGTACACCCATACATACATGCCCTCATCTGAAAGCATGAGGTTTTGGACAGGATCGGCTACTATATGAGTGAAGATCTGTTGTTATTATTGTCCCTACTTGACAAATAAAACATACTGCACTATGGGAGGATCTATTTTATGTCTTATTTGAGAGATTGATGCTACATCTTACCTGGAGAGGAGCCATTGGTGGAGTATTAATTTCTGAGGTATTGGGGTGCGACAAAGAGCAGCATTTGGAGTGATAGCTTACTTGGAGGATCTGTGAGAGGGATCCACTGAAGCGCTTTGATCCGCAAAAGGTCGAAGTGATAAGGTGAGAGGCTTATCCAGATGGTGGTCGGATTGTCATATTCACTTGCACACAAATACCTACACGAGTTTCTGTCATTTATTGGGTCATTACCAGCAGCTTTTAGACTTTTGAGAGCACGAGTGTTTGCTAATGTTTTGATCACTATCAGCATTGATTGGACTTTGAGAGCACTGTTTTATTTATTGTTATATTGTGTTTTTCACTACACGAGAGGCACGTGTGATTTTATTCACAGAATATATATATATATATATATACAGTCATGGCCTTAAATTGTTGGCACCCTTGATATTTTTCCTGAAAATCAAGTATTTCACACAAAAAAGGTATTGCATTAACACATGTTTTGCTATACACATGTTTATTCCCTTTGTATGTATTGGAACAAATATAAAACAGAGGCAGAAAAGCAAATATGACATAATGTCACACAAAACCCCAAAAATGGGCTGGACAAAAGTATTGGCACCCTTAACTTAATATTTGGTTGCACACCCTTTGGAAAACATAACTGAAATCAGTCGCTTCCTATAACCATCAATAAGCTTCTGACACCTCTCACCCGGAATTTTGGACCACTCTTCCTTTGCAAACAGCTCCAGGTCTCTCTTATTGGAAGGACACCTTTTCCCAACAGCAATTTTTAAGATCTCTCCACAGGTGTTCAATGGGATTTAGATCTGGGCTCATTGCTGGCCACTTCAGAACTCTCCAGCGCTTCTTTGCCATCCATTTCTGAGTGCTTTTTGACGTATGTTTGGGGTCATTGTCCTGCTGGAAGACCCAGGATCTTGGACGCAAACCCAGCTTTCTGACACTGGGCCCTACAGTGCGACCCAAAATCCTTTGGTAATCCTCAGATTTCATGATGCCTTGCACACAGTCAAGGCACCCAGTGCCAAGGCAGCAAAACAACCCCAAAACATCATTGAACTCCACCATATTTTACCGTAGGTACTGTGTTTTGTTCTTTGTAGGCCTCATTCCGTTTTCTCGGTAAACAGTAGAATGATGTGCTTTACCGAAAAGCTCTATCTTGGTCTCATCTGTCCACAAGACGTTTTCCCAGAAGGCTTTTGGCTTACTCAAGTACATTTTGGCAAACTGTAGTCTTGCTTTTTTTATGTCTCTGTGTCAGCAGTGGGGTCCTCCTGGGTCTCCTGCCATAGCGTTTCATTTCATTTAAATGTCGACGGATAGTTCGCGCTGACACTGATGCTCCCTGAGCCTGCAGGACAGCTTGAATGTCTTTGGAACATGTTTGGGGCTGCTTATCCACCATCCGGACTATTCTGCGTTGCAATCTTTCATCAATTTTCCTCATCCGTCCACGACCAGGGTGATTGCTACAGTGCCATGGGTTGCAAACTTCTTGATAATGTTGCGCACTGTGGACAAAGGCAAATCTAGTTCTCTGGAGATGGACTTGTAACCTTGAGATTGTTGATATTTTGCCACAATTTTGGTTCTCAGGTCCTCAGACAGTTCTCGTCTCCTCTTTCTGTTGTCCATGCTTAGTGTGGCACAGACAGACACACAATGCAAAGGTTAAGTGAACGTCTCTCCTTTTTATCTGCTTTCAGGTGTGATTTCTATATTGCCCACACCTGTTACTTGCCCCAGGTGAGTTTACAGGAGCATCACATGCTTGTAACATTCTTATTTATCCGCAGTTGTGAAAGGGTGCCAATACTTTTGTCCAGCCCATTTTTGGAGGTTTGTGTGACATTATGTCGAATTTGCTTTCTTTCCTCCCTTTTTTTGTTTTGTCCCAATACACACAAAGGGAATAAACATGTGTATAGCAAAACATGTGTTAATGCAATACGTTTCGTGAGAAATACATGATTTCCTGGAGAAATATCAAGGGTGCCAACACAATTTCGGCCACTGACTGTATATATATAAATGAATTTTTTTCACATGTTTTTGGTTATTTGAATTAATTTTGCAGATTTTTTTTGAGTAATGAGCACTAATTATTTTTAATTGATATTTCTATCACAATTTTGGATGTAATTTTGTGTTCACTTATCACTAATTTGTTAGATATATATGTGTGTTTACACCTAAAGGTGTGAAGCTTTCATGATTTGTTAGGCATTATTGTGCAGTGTATGCATATTCTTTGCTACCTTGACCATGTTCTGCATTACTAATTTTAACTTTGCACCAGGGGCGGACTGACAACTCATGGGGCCCCCGGGCAATAGGGGATCATGGGTCCCCTGTGTCCTTGCCCAAACTCAAAAAAGCCTATGAAAAAGGTACCAGGGGCATCTCATGGGGCCCCCTACTGACCCTGGGCCCTCGGGCAGTGCCCGATTTTCCAAATGGTCAGTCCGCCCCTGCTTTGCACCTGTTTATTAGTAAAGTGCAAATTACAATCTGATGAATTGGCCAATAATGTATCCTATTACAGAACAATGGAGCTGGAGACAAAGAGTGGAAGAGAAAAAGGCATTTAAGGCATTTCCAAGTCAAAATCAATTAATATCATAACATAGGATGGTACAGAACTATAAAGAGAAAAAAAGATTGGACTTTAGTGATTTTGGCTAGAGAGTTCTTTTCCCCAGATTTAAAGTGTTACTACACCCAGGGCCCTGCAATCACTATATCTGGTCTCCAACAGTACACAGAACATGGAAACGCAAGTATTTTAGTAAATATAAACTGATAAATACCTTTTTCCCATCAGCAGTTAGAGCTGTGTTTTGAAACATACGTAGATTAGGTGGTGTAGCGCTAATACCATTTAATTATAGACACAAAAAATTTATAAAGGACTCGATATTAAATGGGTGAATACATACATAATATGAATAAATATATAGGTGTACAGTGGTGCACCTAATGTGTAGTCCAAAAACATGCCATCAAGAATGTGACTAAGTATGAGTGATAGGTGATACAAGTGAAACAAAAAATTAACCAAATATAAATACATGTGATCATAAATGAACAATATTCATAAATCATTTGCACAAAGTCCCAATCATATAACTAGGATGAATCAACCTTCAACCATGAAAAATAATACGTGCTCAAGTGCATCAGACCATCTGTCACCATCTAGCGTGCACGCTTATCTCCAATCTTTGACCCTCAAGGAGTCATAAGGCATAACAAATCACCATTTAGTCCCAGGTGAGATGAATCTCACTCTCTGGATGGATATAAGATCGGCTTTCACACAACCAACAGTTAACCACTTCCCTTCCTGTCCAGGCAAATTTTCAGCTTTCAGTGCTAAAGTGTTTTTTTCTTATAAAATTTTGCAAATAAATAGTATTTCATCATAAATCTTGGCCAAAATCTATTCTGTTATATTTTTAGTAAAAAAAAAAAAAACAAATTAGTTTATAACCAAAAATTATAATTTTTATACATTTTTTTTTATTTTTTATTTATTTTTTCATTCACAGATTTCACACGTAGTAAGCAATGATGTCAGAAGTGACATCTTGCTTACTATTCTGCATGTGATCACTAATTGGCCAATCAGTGATGTCATGATCGGGACCTCGTACAGAGGTCCCGTCTGACGATCGGTGTTCCACTGTGTCCGGAGGACACAGCGGGCACCGGATCGCGGTGCTGTGCGCTCCCAGGGAGCGCGCACAAGCAGGGTGTAGGGAGGCCATTTATAAACGGCCACCTGACCCTGCACTGCCACCGTCTGGCCGTTTACATACAACGGCCAGACGGGAGGTGGTTAATTACGTACGGACAGCAGCCATCTTTGGACTCCCTATACAAGCACCCTGACTGTGGGTTATACAGTTCATGCCTGGTGGGTCTATGACCCGATTTTAATGTGTGAGTATGTCTTTGGCATTTGTGTATGGTATACTAAACTTTACTTTATTACACTATGGTGGCTTTTTCTCTGATTCCCTGTTTATGAGCCATTGGGAGAGTGGAGGAGTTTTGTAAAGGTGCCTTTCCATTGTAATAATTGATTAACCGTGGGCTGTGTGGAAGCTGATCCTGTGTCCATCCAGAGAGTGAGATCCATCCCACCTGGGACTAAATGGTGATTTGTTATGCCTTATGACTCTTTGAGGGTCAAAGATTGGAGGTAAGCATGCATGCTAGACGTGACAGATGGTCTGATGCACTTGAGCACGTATTATTTTTCACAGTTGAAGATTGATTCATCACACAACTCTCATCTCTGTCTGGGCAGTGCTGATTGGCCCTGTGCTGATCACATGCACTCTCCCACGAGAAAAAAACCCCCTCTATAGCACTTCACACCAAACAGAGCATGTGCAGTGTCTCCACACCATATGTCTTATCAGGAGATTAGAGGGAGACTCTGGAAGAAAGGGAGGAACAGAGATGTCAGGATTAAACATCCTTTTTACACAGTGCAGAGGATTAACCCCTTAGGTTCCAGGGGTACTGAATTAAAATTCACGGGGATCTGGTCAGTAAAATTTTCTTCCAGTGGAGGTCCAAGTGTCATGTTGGTGCTATGACTCAGATCCTTCACATCACGCCCTCGTGCACATCACAGCTCCTCCCCCCTATCCCCATCACCCCCTTTTACATCATAGACCACCCCATTACAAACCCCCCCAATCATCAACTGCTCCATCACGAACCCCCTCAGACCCTACCTCCAAATCACAGACCCCCCCCTCATAACAGATTGCCCCATCACAGTCCTCCTTGCATATTACCTACCTTTTTCACACAAGACGGCAAGCACGGCACGTCTGGACTTTTTATGTTAAAGGCAGGAAAAAGATTGCTTGGACCACCCTGCTGCCTAGCAGCCAATCACTCGCTTCCTAACATGAAAAGTCCCGCCCTATGTCAAGACCTGCAGTTCTTCTCGTCTTGTGTGAATAAGGTAGGACAGTGTGGGGGGAGGGGGGGTGCGAGGAAGGTGAGGGTACTGTGTTGTTATGAAAGAGATAGTCCTGCTGCACCTCAAATGTTGTGCCCTTCCTTGAGGACCATAGCGGCAGCGGTGGGCAAGTGAGCCGGCAGCAGAGAGAGGACATTCAGGCAACTATTTGGGGAGGCTGTGGTCCAGAAAGGAATGTTTCTAGGTCTGGATCTGGACCACGGTCCGCCATTTAGTGATGCCTGCTTTACTGCATATACAGACTGATTTTACTGTTGGGTTTAGTAACACTTTAATGAACCTGTAGTATCTACACAGCTAGTATTTAAGGTTCTGCAGTGAGATGTTTTAAAGTCCCGCATATATACTGTATATATTTAGGGTAATTGATTGAACTTCAAAACACCCTCTACAACATAATGTAACAATATACAGTGGGGATCGAAAGTTTGGGCACCCCAGTTAAAAATTTGTATTAATGTGCATAAAGAAGCCAAGGAAAGATGGAAAAATCTCCAAAAGGCATCAAATTACAGATTAGACATTCTTATAATATGTCAACAAAAGTTAGATTTTATTTCCATCATTTTACACTTTCAAAATAACAGAAAACAAAAAAATGGCGTCTGCAAAAGTTTGGGCACCCTGCAGAATTTATAGCATGCACTGCCCCCTTTGCCAAGCTGAGACCTGCCAGTGTCATGGATTGTTCTCAATCATCATCTGGGAAGACCAGGTGATGTCAATCTCAAAGGTTTTAAATGCCCAGACTCATCTGACCTTGCCCCAACAATCAGCACCATGGGTTCTTCTAAGCAGTTGTCTAGAAAACTGAAACTGAAAATAGTTGACGCTCACAAAGCTGGAGAAGGCTATAAGAAGATAGCAAAGCGTTTTCAGATGTCAATATCCTCTGTTTGGAATGTAATTAAGAAATGGCAGTCATCAGGAACAGTGGAAGTTAAAGCAAGATCTGGAAGACCAAGAAAAATATCAGACAGAACAGCTCACAGGATTGTGAGAAAAACAATTCAAAACCCACATTTGACTGCACGATCCCTCCAGAAAGATCTGGCAGACACTGGAGTTGTGGTACACTATTCCACTATAAAGAGATACTTGTACAAATATGGTCTTCATGGAAGAGTCATCAGAAGAAAACCTCTTCTACGTCCTCACCACAAAAATCATCGTTTGAACTTTGCAAATGAACATATAGACAAGCCTGATGCATTTTGGAAACAAGTTCTGTGGACCGATGAGGTTAAAATTGAACTTTTTGGCCGGAATGAGGTACGTTTGGAGAAGAAGGGGCACAGAATTTAATGAAAAGAACCTCTGTCCAACTGTTAAGCATGGGGTTGGATCAATCATGCTTTGGGGTTGTGTTGCAGCCAGTGGCACAGGGAACATCTCACGAGTAGAACGAAAAATGGATTCAATAAAATTTCAGCAAATTTTTGGATGGCAACTTGATGCCATCTGTGAAAAAGCTGAAGTTAAAGAGAGGATGGCTTCTACAAATGGATAATGATCCTAAACACACCTCGAAATCCACGGGGGATTACATCAAGAGGCGTAAACTGAAGGTTTTGCCATGGCCTTCACAATCTCCTGACCTCAACATAATTGAAAATCTATGGCTAGACCTTAAAAGAGCAGTGCGTGACAGACAGCCCAGAAATCTCAAAGAACTGTAAGACTTTTGTAAGGAAGAATGGGCAAAGATACCTCAAACAAGAATTGAAAGACTCTTGGCTGGCTACAAAAAGCGTTTACAAGCTGTGATACTTGCCAAAGGGGGCAGTACAAGATATTAACTCTGCAGGGTGCCCAAACTTTTGCAGACGCCATTTTTTTGTTTTCTGTTATTTTGAAAGTGTAAATGATGGAAATAAAATCTAACTTTTGTTGACATATTATAAGAATGTCTAATCTGTAATTTGATGCCTTTTGGAGATTTTTCCATCTTTCCTTGGCTTCTTTATGCACATTAATACAAATTTTTAGCTGGGGTGCCCAAACTTTCAATCCCCACTGTACATTGCCTTTTCCTAAATGCTAATTATGCAATGAATGTATAAAAGCACATTGATATTTAAGTGATAGTTTCCAGTTGCATTTACAGATAACATTTTATTTCTCTTACTTTCATCAAACATGGCCCGTGGTGATAACTTTTGAAATAATCATACAGGAAAGGGGCGGTAGCACTCCACCATCCACCCTTTTTTCCCAAACAGTGCTTACCCATCCAGCCAGCCTTTCATCTGCTTTTATTTTATTTGTTTAATCTTTGCAACTCATCAGGTCAAGCTTATGAAGTGGTGTTAAGTGAGAGGCGCTGCCTTCATCTGGTGAACCTTTGAATGCAATCAGTAAAAAAGGCAAAACATTTGTTGGTAA